TCTATATTGTGCACTAGGTTATATGGTGGCCATCTAGACCGCATGGGATCGGCTCGTGCTGTCGCCATCGATTTCACTCAAGTGTGAAGGATTCAGTTAGATACCCGACAAGCCCGATCGCGCTGGTCCACTGTCTAACTGTATATAGGGTATCCCCACCATATATCGGGGAAAAGTAGTGAATGAAATTGTGATCACATATTAAGTCCCGGTATAGTCCCCCTCACCTTTGATTTTTCCTCATCATTCGCCTTGAGTACATCCTCTACTGGTGCGTCAAAGACCTTGTTAAGGAGCTCTCGATACCTGCATCAGGGAAAAGGATAAAACTCCTACCAATACAAAGGTTTGTGATGAAGATCGTCGCCTGACACTAAACGTGCGCAACACAACACCGCACTCACCCGAGTGGTCCGGAAGGATGCGTTTATTAAGGCAAAGAAGGGAGCTTACTTTTCGAAAGAGTGTGGTGTGAGGAACCCTAGACTGCCGAGAGCGAACGCCACCACCGGTGGAGGCATCAGCGATACTATGTTACCACGTCGATACAAGTTGTCGGCTGAGATGAGACACAAACTTGCCTTCCTGCTCCGAATCTTGATCACTAATATAGTTTGGATATGCTGATACTCTTCTGAAAGATCTAATCTCCCTGATTACGACGATTGAAACGTAAAATGGCCGCGAGCAACCGCAACAGAACTCCATCATGCATTTCCTCCCTTTCGTTTCCACTAGGGAGGAAATATATACCGCATCACAACCTTTCGACGAACGACTTTTTCAGAATTCTCTCTAACAAGTAGTGCCCATCCTAAAACTGGTTACTTTCAAGCCACATTATCGTTCGCAGGACAGTGCCATCACCACCGAGGCAAATAACCAGGTCGACCATCACAGGTTCGCAATCGTACGTATCAGGGTCTGCCAGCATCACTTCCTTACCATCTGCCATCACCATACGAACACCCTACATAGAGGAAATGATCACCTCGAAACCACAACCCTTGAGTGGGGATCTACCTCTCCACCATCTCCCTCAACGCACTTCTTCCTGCACCCTAGACACCTAAACTTCGACAACGGGCCTCGATCACGCTGTGCTGCAACTGAAACAAGGGTATCATACCACACAGCCCGGAACATCCTCTGCTGGACCACAGAATACCGCCGGTGGGATTCGAACCCGGGTTTTCTACTACCATCAGGATCATTAGGATCAAGTAGAACTGTTAGTCCCCTTTCATTCCTGACCCAATTAGCCACTTCCACCAAGGCTTCCGTTGCATCATCGTCTCCCCACTTCTTAGCCACCAACACCGTACGAGGGGCAGAGCTCCTACCAAAAGTGTACAGTCGCGACTCAGGAACACCAATGGAATACAACAACAGAGTCAAATGACCAGACAAATACATTTGCGTGCCAACGCGAATACACGAACTTTCGCTACACTACTACTACTACTACTACTACTACTACTACACAGAACGACGATACCGAATCTTCTCAAGTGAGAGTAACGGGAACATCCTTACTGCATCCTTACCAAGCCAGCTTGATGCTTCGACCATCCCTCACTGGATGGCTCCGTGGAAGTTGAGGCTCATCCGTGGGGGTGCGGGGGCTATTCAAATTACTCTGGGATCGTGCCAACCAAGCGATTCCCAATATGAATTCTTCTATGTCGATTGTTCCCGACCTGATGAAGTGAAGATGCTCATAATCGATCACGTGATCGATTTACTGACCTATCGATATCAAATGCCTGAAAAGCGCTCATATACGTCACTCGGGCAAGGGGGATATTTGCGTGTTTTTCTGAAGTAACATCATCCCAACCGAGAGGACACTCGAGCCACAACGACAACACAGCGTCTCTACCCCACCTCCGTAGTGATCATAGTTCAGGAAGAAATTAACCAGAGCGTAACCATTCTCGAAGTCGATCGGGTCCAAGTGTTTCTTCCCACGAGCCAAAGAATGGAATATGGTCGCCAGGCGATAGAGCGTCTCATAATTAAACCCAGTACCTACAAGCCCCCAAACGACCATGCAGTAATAATAGAGGTATAAATCGTCACTCACGTTGCTGTAGCGATGATACCACCTTTGCTTTATCTAACCACTCTTGTAAAGCCTAACACAAGAAGCTCGACATAAGTTCATCTTCCCAAGACTAAGAAAGTAGCATTTGCAACCATGGTTGTAACGCTGCATCCAGCTGCGCACTAAGAGTCTAACTACGCCATGTTCTAGGCATTGGACTTTAAACTCACTCACACACACACCAACCGCGCGCGCCACAGTTGTGAGGTGGAATTACTACATAATTATGATGACACATTTCTTCGCGGATTCCTCTCTACTATCCATGGTAAAAGGTATCGATGAAACGATGAGTTCCGCTTACCGGTTTAAGCTCGGGCGAAATGATCCCATCGGA